AATTCCATACCCAGCCCAGATGTCCGTGTGTATGAAGGGAAATAAAGACATTTTCAGACATGCAAGGAGCCACGCTGTATCTGCCAGGCGCGCTCTCTCAAGCTCCAGGAGGACCTGCTCCATTAAAATATGAGTGTAAGCAGAGAGAGAGAGCGCGCGCCGGCATGCAGGCCCACACAGGAGCCGGAGCAGGTGAGCTCCCTGGCATGTGCAGGGAGAGGTCTGCAGGACAGCTGCGCCCTGTGAGGCTTGCCCCCACCCCACCCCCCTGGAGCGGGCCCCGAGGCCACGGCTTCCCTGGGGAGTCTGCTCTGACACGTACCTGGCCTGCCTGCGGCGGGCGCGGGGGGGGGGGGGACCCAAGCAGTGAGAAGCCCATCCTCTGGGCCCTGCCGGTGGGGGCCTGGGTGTCCCTGGGTCATCGGTGTCCCCACCCACTGATGGCCCCAAATGGCTCCTGCACTCTCAGGGAGGCTGAGGCCAGCTGGCCCTTGAGGCTCTGCAGCCTCTCTTCTCCTGGGGCCTCAGCTGAGCGGTTTGTCAAAACCAAGAGGATGCAGCGTGGGGAGGTACACGTTGTCACACCAACGTGACAAGTGAGGGACAGCACACAAGGCCTGGAGGAAGTTCCGTGGCTGGGGCCAGCCCCCCAGCGGCCAGCAGGGTCCCACCAACGCGCTATTTCATGACTGGCACCTGCATGTCTATTTTACTATTTTGCTTTAAACTGATATTTTGTTTTTAAAAATTTATTTTTTTAAAGATTTATTTATTCCTGAGAGACACAGAGAGAGAGACAGAGGCAGAGACACAGGCAGAGGGAGAAGCAGGCGCCCTGCGGGGATCCTGATGCGGGACTGGATCCCCGGACCCCGGGGTCATGCCCTGGGCTGAAGGCAGGCGCTCAACCCCTGAGCCACCCAGCTGACCCTAAACTGATTTTTTATATTGTGCAAGCACAACACAGGTCACCCTTAGCCGTTTGAAACCAGTGGCGCTCCTTCACCCTGGCACTAATGCAGCAGAATACTGACGGCGGGACGGCAGGCCAGCCCTCCCAATGGGAGGGGACAGCGCAGGACGCGGGGACGCAGACCCGGGGGAGGCGGCGGCTCGCCCCATCCGGGCACCTGGACAGCCTCTGAGACGGGAGTCTCGCCCAGGCAACCGGCAGACCCAGTGCCCGTTCCGGTTCAAATGCCAGCTGTCAGTGTTACCACACTTGTCAAGGCCTGCAAGGAAAGGTGCAGGTTAATGATAAAGAAGTTACTTTCGAAGAAGGAAAGAAGGGGCAGCCCGGGTGGCTCAGTGGTTTAGCGCCGCCTTCAGCCTAGGGCGTGACCCCGGCGTCCTGGGATCGAGTCCCGCGTCAGGCTCCCTGCATGGAGCCTGCTTCTCCTTCTGCCTCTGTCTCTGTCTCTGTCTCTCTGTGTCTCTCATGAATAAATAAATAAAATCTTTAAAAAAAAAAAAAAGAAAGAAAGAAAGAGAAAAGAGGAGGCTTCTCCAGGTGCCGGGAGCTCAGGGGCGCGGCGCCCGCTGTCCTCTCCACGCGCCGCCGGTGCAGTGAGGCAGCCAAGCTCCGGGGAAGGGCGAGGCCGGCAGCCCTCGAGGCAGCCTTGCTGCACTGGGTTCTCGGCTCAGCGTAGGACACCTGCGGGTGCCAAGCCCGACGCCCTCTGCACTGGCTGCAGAGACAGGTTAGGGCCGCACATGCCTGCGCAGCGGAGAGGCCACCAGCAATAACCGAGCGACATGGGCAGGGCGGCGCCCTCCCCACCTGCGCCCTGCCCTCCGGTGTGGCCGCTCCTCCGTGTGTGGCGCCCAGCCGCACCCCTACAGCCCAGCACTGCCACCCCTAGAGCCCCCACCCGCTCCTCACCCTCCCTGCTCGGAGCCGCTGGGCTTCCAGGGCCAGGCCCCGAGCCGGACCCTCCCTGGCTGGCCTCTGGCTCAGCCTCGCGGGCATGAGCCCCTGCTGACCACACCCAGCCCTGACGTCGCACTCCCACAGGCCGCCCCTCCGCCCTCCCCGCCCTCCCCGCTGGCACTGCCCTCCACCCCCCGAGTCTCACAGGTCAGGACCCCCCGCCGGTATCCTCACCTCTCTGGCACCACGGCTGCCCACCACCCCCACTGGGAAAAGGCTGAACCCTGGAGGAAGCCGGTGTCCACCTGTCTATCTGCCCAGGCTGCCTGGTGCCATGAGGAAGCCCCATCCCACCCCCGCCGGATGAGCTTGCCCCGGCTCCTCCACGCAGAAGGGAGCCCCCCAAGGACCCCACCAGCACCTGCCCGTCACCGAGAAGCAGGTCCTGTTGGCACCTGCGGCACGGAACTGCCTGAGGGCCCTCCCCATGCAGGACCCCACCCGGCTGCGGTGCGCCCTGGGCCCGCTTTAAGAGGTCTCAAGCCATCGTGTTTGCAGTTGTTGGGGTGCACGGTGCAGGGGGCACGGACACGGGGCCCATCCAGGTCAGTCCACTGCAGTCTGGACCTGCCTATATGCCTCTGGAGGAGGCTCAGCGGGGTCTCTGAAGCACCCACAGTCCCAGATCCAGAGCTGGCTTCGGGACAGACCCCTGCTGGCCTGAGCCTGGGGCTCCTTCCGTCCTGGCCCGTCCACCTCCTCCAGGTCTCTGGGTCGACTGCCTCCCCCCCCGGAGGGGCTAGACCATCCCTCAGCCCGGGACCCCTCCTGCACTGCGCGGGGCACTTGTCCGGGTCCCTCCTGCCAGGGACCCCCAGTTCCAGGCCGCCTGGCGTGGGGTGGGCACTCCGGAGAAATGTCTGTCCTCACACTGCACCCGAGACACTTGCCGCTGACCACGGGATCCTGACCGCGGGATCCTGACCGCGGGATCCTGACCCCGGGTGCCAGGTTAGGTGGCATTAGCCATGTCCTGGACCCAGGGGAATGTGGGGAGACAGGGCTGGGTGGCCACGGTCAGCAGAGAATGTTCTTGTATCTGAATTATCTGCATCCTGCTCCTTTTTATGGCCGGATGATGTTCTATCACATGGCTGGACCCCGGGGATACCGGTCCTTCCAGCTGCCATCAGCAGGGCTGCCAGTCCCAGGGTCAGCTGAGCCCGCTCTCGGGTCTCGGGTGTCCACCTAGGAGTGTACTTAGTGGGTCACACCACTCTACAGTTAGCTTTTTTGAGGAACTGGCAGGTGGGTTCCCAGAGGGGCAGCACCTTGCAGGTCTCCCGAGGGCCCTCCGCAGTCTACACGACCAGCCCCCTCTGCTTGCGTGGAAAATGTGATATTCCGGGCAGCCCGGGTGGCTCAGCGGTTTAGTGCTGCCTTCGGCCCAGGGCGTGATCCTGGAAACCTGGGATCGAGTCCCGCGTCGGGCTCCCTGCGTGGAGCCTGCTTCTCCCTCCGCCTCTGCCTCTGCCTCTCTCTCTGTGCATCTCTAATAAATAAATAAAATCTTTTTTTAAAAATGTGATTTTTCCCTCTGCTGTAAGGAACACAATGCTGGGGACAGAGGCTGCCTCTTCCCAGGTGCTCCTGGCTCTCTGTGGCTCCTCCTCTGCGGAACTGGGGCCACGCAAGCTCTGCCATGTGTCCCACATTCCAGGCAAGGAGGGCCCCTGGGCCCCACGTGTGTGGACGAGAGGCCCACCTGGCTGCCTCTGGGATGGGCCTGGTGTGCGTCCCTCGGGGCCCCAGGACACGAGGAGGCGGGCGCAGGTGGGGAAGCACAGACCCTAGGTGCTGGGGGCGTGACAGCAGCCCCTGGAACCGTGCTTTCCAGAACCCCGTGAAGCCTCACCCTCAGGCAGCCCCAGGACCTTCCTTCTGACCCAGGATGCTGCTCGACATCTGAGGGGGTCGTGGGAAGCCTGGCCTAGTGACCCTGTGCTGGGGGAGTGGCTGTCACGGGGGAACCGCAGGGAAAGGACACACGCAGTGAGACGGCCAGCCAGCCTTGTCAGGTGCCAGACGCAGGGCAAGGAGCCATCGTGGGCACGCGAGGCCCCTGGGCCTCCCGAAGATTTCAGCCCCCGCCGCCCCCTATCACAACTGCAGAGAAACCCCAAGGGAGAGCGGCCCGGCCGAGCCAGGGCCGTGGGGCACTGAGAGTTGGTGACAAATGAGTGCTTCAAGCCACCCCATTTGGGGGCACCTTGTTACATTACACACAGTAGCTAGAGAGGCAACAGCTCGCAGGGCCCCGGCCTCAAGGGCACGCGGCCAGCCCGCCTGGGGTATTCGCCGGGGCCCTAGTGCCAGGGCAGGCGCGGGCTCTGCTCCCCTGCCCCTCGGGTCCCAGCGGCCTTGGGGGCAGCCCCTGCACTTGGACGGGCCCTTGGATCCTCACCCAAGGAAGGAGTCCGGCTCTCGGGGCCTTTCCACAGCTAGGGAGGGGTGCCAGCGGCTGGGGCACCCCGGGGCGGGAACAGGTGAAGGGGGGCAGCTCCAGAGGCTGGGAGAGGCCGCTCCTCCCCAGGGGGCCGGGGGCGGGCCCGGGAACCCCCTGCCGGCCCGGCCCGCCCCCGCCCCCAGCTCTAGGCCTCGCCCTCCCCCCAGAGCTCGTCCTCCCGCCATCAGGCTCCCCGGAGGTGTCCCCACGGTCCTCCACCGCCCGCGCGGGGCCCGTCACGCAGCCGCCGACCGACCCGCTCCTTCCTCCCCCGGCGGCTCGCGGGCAGCTGGGCCGCCTCCCTGCCCCGGGCCCGCCCCCGCCCCCGCCCCGCCTCATCGCAGGGCGGGCCCGCCAAGCCCCAAGGCCCCGGGCACCCGCGCTCGCGTCTCCGGGGCTCCCCTCCAGCCACGCCGCGCGCGCCCGCCGCACACTCGGGGCCCAGCCTAGCCGCCCCCGGGCTCACTCGGGCCGCGGACCCGGAGGGACGCACCTGCGCGCGGCCCCGGCAGGTGAGGCGGGACGGCCCCGCCCCCGGACGGCAGCCCCGCCCCGGCCCCGCCCCCGGGCCGCCGGCCCCGCCCCCGCCCCGCCCCGCGCGCACTGGGCATGCCCAGAGCCGGGTCACGTGCCCTGCCGCCCGTGCGGACTCTGCCCACGTCCGCCCGGCCCGGCTGCCCTGCGCGCTGCCATGGAGCGCATCGAGGGGGCGGCCGTGGGCCGCTGCGCAGCCTCGCCCTACCTGCGGCCGCTCACGCTGCACTACCGCCAGGTGAGCCCGCCCGCGCGCCGTCCGCGACCCCCGCCCTCAGCCCCGGGCCCCGCCCCCCGCCCGCGGAGCCCCGCCCCCGCCCGCGGAGCCCCGCCCACAGCCCCCGGGCCTCGCCCCCCGCCCGCGGAGCCCCGCCCTCAGCCCCGGGCCCCGCCCACAGCCCGCGGAGCCCCGCCCCCGGCCCCGGGTCCCGCCCCTGTGCCTCGTGCTGCGCCCCAGCTCAGCGTGCGGGCCGGGTTCGGTCCCGGGTGGAGACCCAACGGGCGCCCGGCGCGGGACACCTGGGGACGACCCACCCCTCCGCGGAGGCTCGGCGGGGCCCCTGCACTGTTAGCAGTGGGGCGTGGGGGGCGCCCCGGGGGTCTGGGGTCTTCGTTCCGGCCAGGAGGTAGGGGTGTGGAGTGTGGATCTGGCGCAGCTCTGGAGAGCCTCTCCTTCCGAGGCCACCTCCAGGGTCCCCCCACCTGCCCCACACGCTGGCAGCGCTCTCCTGGGGTCCTGGCACCTGTCCCCCTGTCACCAGCCGGAGCAGGACCGCGCAGTCCCTGGGCGCCGTGTGCGTGGCAAGTCCACAGGGCACACTTGCTGGGCGAGGGCAAACGTGCCCGTGGTTTGGGTCCTGCAGCTCCTGTCTGGCTGCTCCCCTGCCCCCAGCCCGTTGCCTGCTCTGAGTGCCCTGCGCCTTCCACACCTGGACAGGTGGGCCAGGTCTTTGGTGCTCCTCTTCCCTGCCGGCCCCCCACTTCCAGCTCCCTGTCCCCTCCGCAGTCCTTCCTCTTGCGCAGCCTCCAGCTGAGAGAGGCCCCCACACCCCTCGGTTGCCCTGTCCACATTGACCTGTGGGCTCCTGTCCTTGGGATGGGCCCACTGGCAGTGCTGGACTGGGACAGGAGCAGGGGGGTCCGTTGAGGGTCAGGCCATGGGGACACGGAGGTCACCGCCCTTCTCCTTGGCCTTGACTTGGGGTGGGGATGCCTGATTGTGGCTGCGCAGCCCCCAAGGGACCGGGGCTCCGGGGGGTGGTGGGAGGCGCAGGCGGTCTGGGCACGCACCTGCTGAATCCCCTCCCCGAGCTGAAGCACAGGAGCCGGTCAGCGCGGCTCCACGGCGGGGTGCTGGTGGCCAGAGCGGAGCAGGTGCAGGCGGGAGGCAGGGGTGGGCACAGGCTAGGGTGCCAAGGCAGCGTCCCTTCGGGGGCCAGGGGCCAGGGGGCTGGGCCGTGCCTGCCAGCCAGGGGCATCTGCAGCCATGCCTGGCCAGCAGGGACACGGGGGCCAGACACATAGGCCGGGGGCAGCTGACCCCCTGAAGGTGAACCAGGCCTAGGACCCAACTAGCTGGTCTGTGGGTGCTGTGGGAGGGGCCGGCTGGGGATCACTGGGCCTCTGTGGCCTGTCCTGTGCATGGTGCCTTGGCTGGACCTAAGGGTCTAGCTGACATTTTAATCTGGAGCTGGGAGGGTCCCTGACTGCACAAGGTGACACTTCTCGTGAGGGAGGCAGGGGGCACAGCAGGCCCTTGGCAGACCTGGGGGGTGAGCAGGCCTCTGAGTGCATCCTGGGTGCGTGGCTGGCCCCAGGGTGGCCAGATTGCAGGCAGGCCCGGGCTTGCCTCGTGGGGGTAGTGCCTCCCAAGGCCTCCCAGGCAGCCCGACTGGCGACCGGCGTAGCGCAGGGCATCCGCCCTCCCATCCCCTTGGCAACAGAGGCCCCTGCCACTCCTCCAGGGCACTTGTGCTCCAGCAGAGCCCGAACTAATTTTCCCAGCTCCCCTTGGACCAGTGTGTGGGCCTCTGCCTGTGAAGTCCCTCTCCTTGGAATGCCCTTCCCTCACTTTTGTGGGGCCTGGAGCAGTGTCACCTCCTCCAGGAAGTCCTCCCTCCTCTGCAGCCCTGGCTGCACTTGCTGCACCGCTGGTGCTCAGGTCCGTGTCTGTTTCAAGGCCTGGCAGGGCCCAGGGGTGGGGCTGCGCTCTCCAGGGCCCTAGAGCTGACCCAGTGGCTGAGGGCAGATGGGCTGAGCAGGCGCTGGTGGGGGGGGGCAGCCGCAGGGCGGGGCCCCGGGGTCCTAGGTCCAGCCGCGTGGGCAGAGACCCCTTGGGGACGAGGCAGGACCAGGTGGAATGGCTACCGTCTCCTCTAGCCCCAAGGAGGGGAGCCCGCCTTGCCCAGCTGGCAGGATCCTGGGCCCCTCAGACACCCTGCCTCTCGGCACCCCGTGAACGCCGCTCGGGCTGCCCCCTGGCCCGCACTGCGGCCCTCACCCACTGATGGCTGCCTGGAGCCCTGGGAGCCCCTCGGGGCGTGGCGCGCAGGCTTGGGGAGCAGGATGATGAGGCAAGTGGCAGGACAGCAGGGCGACAGGATGCGCGAGAGACAGCCCGAGACAGAAGCTGGGCTGGGGGAGGGTCAACCCTGTGCAGTCACTGTTAGCGCATCACATGCCCCCCCCCCAGCTGCCCCTGGCGCTGGTGTCCTCTCAGGAGGCTGGCCTGCCCTCCTGCCCTCCTGCCCTCCTGCCGCCTCTGCGCAGTGGCCCGAGGGACTTTCAGCCCCGAGCACCTGATCTCCCTCCGCCACCATCCCACCCCTCCCCCATGCCCCACGGTCCTTCCCGCACTTGGTGACATTGTACATCTCTGCAGCTCCCAGGGGGCAGCCGGTGCCGTGGGTCTGTCTGGCCCGCTCGGCTTCCCGGAGCACTCGCACACCTGCGGGCGGCTCTGTGGCCCCCCTGACCGCTGCCCTGCCCCTTTTCAGAACGGCGCTCAGAAGTCCTGGGACTTCATGAAGACACATGACAGGTGAGAGCCCGGCCCGGCTGCAGGAAGCCCCCGACTGATGCCCACGGGACACGGGGCCCAGGCCCGGGAGCGCCAGCCCTGCCCCTACCTTGCTGCACCCCTCGGGGTCTCTGGGTGCCCCCTGGCTTCTGGCTCAGGCCGCCTGGACCTGGGAGAGGCCGTCGGGTGCCTTGCCCTCCGTGAGCACGAGGAGTGGGGGCTGGATGGCAGTGGGGCGCGAGGAGCGTGGCTGGCGGGCAGCTGGCCCGCAAGGAGCACATGTCCCGTCAGTCACCCAGCCTCAGCTGCTGCCACCCCGGCCTGCCCAGCTGCCCAGCATGTCCCCCCCGGCCCCGCTCTGCCAGTCGGAATACAGTAGGCCTGAGTCCTAGCCTGACCGTGTGACCTGGCAAGCTCTGGCCCTGCCGGGGCCTCAGTCTGCCCGTCTGAGTAGGGGACCGGAATCTGCAGACTGATGGGGAAAGAAGGGGGAAGGGGCCTGGGCCTGGTGCAACGGGGTGGGAGCCAGCCCCCCAGGCGAGGCCAGGCCCAGCCGTTGCTTTTGTGCTCAGCTCTGTCCACCCCCCGCAGTGTGGCCATTCTCATGTTCAACTCTTCCCAGCAGAGCCTGGTGTTGGTGAAGCAGTTCCGGCCAGGTGAGGCCCCCCCCCAGAGTGGGCTGTGGGGGGACGGGAGGCTATCGGGTGGCCCTCAGGCCCCTGTGGTCCTCGGGTCGGGCACAGATGTGGGGAGGGGGCGCTGGGGGGGCATCCTAAACCCAGTGACGGTTCGGCCTAGAGAGGCTCACACGGAGGCACATGCGCCATGGCTGTGACCGTGGCCGCCCTCCCCCACCCAGCTGTGTACGTGGGCGAGGTGGAACGGCGCTTCCCAGGGTCCCTGGCAGCTGTGGACCAGGACAGACCCCAGGAGCTGCAAGCGGTGCTGCCTGGCTCAGCGGGGGTGACCTACGAGCTGTGTGCAGGCCTCGTGGACCAGCCCGGGCTCTCGCTGGAGGAAGTGGCCTGCTCGGAGGCTTGGGAGGAGTGTGGCTACCGCCTGGCGCCCTCCGACCTGCGCCGGGTCGCCACCTACAAGTGAGTGCGGTTGGGCCACCGCCCAGGGGTTGGGACAGCCTGGGAGGCAGTGAGCGCCCCATCTCCAGGGGCATGCAAGCAGGGCAGTGCCTCCTTGCTTTTCTACAGGGGGTCAGGGGGAAGGTGGAACAGAAGGCACCTCAGATGGCGATCCAGGCCGGAACCCAGGCTCCTGGGGGCCGTTGTGCAGCGTGCCAGTGCCCCCACCCTTCGGCCCCTAGGCGCGTGGGGCCAGCTCTGGGTGGCAGCTGCTGCTGACAGATGCCTCTACTTCCTGTGGGATTAAGCACCGGGCGCTGGGGGTGGGGGTGAGTCACAGATCTGCTGTCACACGGTGGCTCAGGAATGAAGTGGGGGGCGGGGGCTCCAGCATTGTGGGGGGCGTGGCCTGGAGCCCAGCCTTCAGGGCCTGTGCCCACCAACCAAAGGCGCCCCCCCCTGCCGCCCTCCCCAGGGGCTGTCCTTGGGGGGGTGAAATCTGGGGGCAGGAGGCGGGGCCGGCAGTGACACCCCCACGGCGCGGAGCCAGCCGCGCGGAGCCAGGCCGAGGCAGCCCCTCCAGGGGCAGGGCCTGCTGGGGGGGGGGGCGGTGCCGCCTCTCAGCCCAGGTGTTGGCGTCTCCCTGGGGGCCGGGGCGCTGCAGCTGACCTCCAGCCCGGGAAGGAGGGGACCCGGGTCGGAGTCACCACGTGAAGCAGCGTGGCATCAGAGGGTCCAGCACCTCGGCCTGAGGGGCAGGCCTGCCACGTGCAGGGTCCTCGGGTCCCGACCCGGGGCCGGGGTGATGGGCGGGAGGCCCCCTGGACGTGCGGGGGGCCTGGGTGACCTGAGCCTGGCGGAGGGGCGAGCGGGCGGGCGCTGTGGTCCTGAGGGGCGGGCCCCAGGGCTCCGGGCAGCTGGCGGCCGCGAGGACTTGCCTTAGCAGGCGGGGGTGGCCGTGGGGCGCAGGAGCCGAGGGGAGCCAGGCAGCTCCAGGAGCCTGCGGGGGACGCGGCCACGCACATTCCTGCTGCGGGTCGGAGGCCGCTGTCTTCCCCGTCTTCCCCGCGAGCCGGCGGAAACTGGGACTGCAGAGCGCAGCCTGGCGCTCCCATCAAAGGACGGGCCGCGGCCGCCGGAAACCGGCCGTCAGGGGGGCCTGCGGCAGATGAGGGGCTGGGGGTGCAGGAAGCAGCTGGCTGCGGCCCGGCTGGCTGGGGCTCCCGCTCCCGCCGCTGCGTGCTGCGCAGGTGTGCGAGGGCAGCGCCTGCCCTGCGGGTCTCTGGCTGGCCTGGCACCCCGGTCCCCTGCACACTCACGCCGGACTCTTCCCCTCGGGTTCCGGGGTGCGCACGGGCCCCTCCGCTGGCCCCCATCCCGGCTACTCGCTGTGACCTCCCCCTCGTTCCAGTCGGGGCCACTCCCTCCTGGGGGGCCACCCGCCCCCTCTGGCCACCACCCACTGAGCTGGGGACTCCCTCACACCCTCAGCATGTGCTGTCCCCAGCCTGGAACGTGTCCCGTAGGTGCTGGCCTTGGGGGTCGTCACGGGGTTGCCGGGTGGGTCCTTGCTGCCTGCTGGCCGGGAGCCCCGGGTGCGGGTGGGTCCTTGCTGCCTGCTGGCCGGGAGCCCCGGGTGCGGGTGGGGTCTGTGCTGGGAAGGGAGGCCCTGGCTGAGGGGCCCACGCGAGCAGAGGGGCAGCAGCTTGCACGCGGGTGCGCATGGACACCGCGGCAGAGACCTAACGGTTTGTCTCCTGCGCGAACGACCTCACGGCTGCTGTGGCTCCTGGCGACTGGGGCAGCGCTCAGGGTCTCGCCCTGACGCACACAGGGCGACGGCTGGGCCGCGGGCTCATCTGGGTTCGGGCCCCCTTCCCAGCCCACGCGGTTGTGGCAGCACCAGGCCCTTGTGGCTGTGTGGCCCACCCTGCTGCCAGGCCAGCTGCTGGCTGGGGGACCAGAGCCAGCCCCGCGAGGCCGCGTGCAGGCCTGGACCACGTGGCCCCCTGCAGGGCAGCTTGCTCTGTCTACGAGGCCCGCAGGACGGTGTCTGCCTGACTTCCTCCGTCTCTGACGTGTAGACCTTCACTGAGGAGCTCACCTAGTTAGGTCAGGCCCACCAGGATGCTCTCTCCGTGAACTAAGGCGACCGCCGATCAAGGCCCTCGGTTACACCTGCAGAGTGCCCCCCACCAGAATCACGGGCGGGATACCCAACGTGTGGCCAGGTTTCTGCCACACTTGAGGGTGGTGGGACCCTGGCAGGAGAAGCAGGGTGCTGTTCCTGGAGTCCCACCTGCCCGAGCGGGTGGAACGAGGGCTGGAAGGGGCAGGGGCGGCCAGGAGGCCTGTGCAGGGGCTTCAGGATGTGCCGTCTCCACCCGTAGGTCTGGTGTGGGACTGACTGGCTCGAGCCAGACTATGTTCTATGCAGAGGTGACAGACGGCCAGCGAGGCGGCCCCGGTGGGGGTCTGGCTGAGGAGGGCGAGCTCATCGAGGTCGTGCACCTGCCCCTGGATGGCGCCCGGGCCTTCGCGGATGATCCGGATGTCCCCAAGACCCTCGGTGTCATCTTTGGCATCTCATGGTTCTTCAGCTGCGTGGCCCCTGACCTGGGCTCCCGGTGAGACCCAGCGGGTCCAGCCCAAGGCTGGTTCTGGCCACTCGCCCTGCAGACCCAATAAAGGCTTGTGCAGCACTAGTCTGCGTCCGCTGGCTCCGAGGTGTGACCGGGGTGGGCTGCGGGAGGTGGAGGGACAGGGGGTCTTTCCCAGATGGGCCCCGGGTGAGGGTGCGCTCTGCCGAGAAGTCTCTGGCTGCAGGCAGGCCCGGGACAGCTGTGGGCAGCTGGCAGAGCTAAGGTCGGGCCTTAGGTGGGGGCCCAGGGGGAGACAGGATGGTGCCAGGCCACCCCTTGGGGCAGGAGAGGTGGGGTTGGGGGCCCAGCCAGGCCAAGCACTCAGGGAGGACTGCGTGGTGGGCCATGGGGTGGCCGTGGGAGTGGTGGCCGAGCCAGCCCTCGGGAGGAGGAGGTGGGGACAGACCTGCCGGCTGTGCATTCTTGAGGGCACACGCCCCCAGTTCCGGGGTGGGCTAGAGCCCCTCTGCGGGAGCCCAAAGCCACAGCTGCTCTGGATCTAGGTCTAGTGCCCCCAGCGGCCCCAGCACCCCCTGGGCCATTGGAAGTGTGAGCTGAGATCTCACTCTGCCTGCCAGCCTGTGTGTGGCCACGGCCTGCAAGCTCGGAAGGACCCTGCCCTGCACGCTGGCCTGTCTTTCGGGTCAGAGACTATGGGAGCTGCCTCTGTGACCTTTAAACACTGGGGGGGGGGGGTCACAGGTGGCTCGGTGCCCACGCAGCTACACACCCAGTAAGGCCTCCATCCATTATGGGTGGGTTGGAGCCCATTGTGGAGAGTGTGTGCCAGTCACTGCCATCCAGGGCGTTTGTAGGATGGGGGCCCAGGCTGACCCTTCCCCTGAGCCCTCCCAAGTCCTCTGGCTAGCCCCATGGGCGATGCCATGGGTGATGGGTCATGGGTGGCTTGGGGAGGGCAAGGCGTCCAGGGGCCGTTGCTGCCACAGGCAGGTGGGGACTGGAGTGACCAGGAGCTTTGCTGCAAACCTGACCGTGCTCTGGGCCTCGGGCTGGCGTGGTGGGAAGATGCTCAGGAAGGACGTGCCTTTGCCTCTCACTGAGACCCCATTGTCAGGCGGGGGCACAGCACTTGGGCTGGGGTCCACCTCCCGCCCATAATCCCCCGCGCTGCCCCAGCTGCCCCCATGCAGGCAGGTGTTTTCTGAGCGTGGGTGGAGGTGGAGGGTCCCTCCCTCCCTGCTGGCCTGGGGAGTGCCGGGGCTCAGCCGCCTGGGACCAGTCAGTGCAGACAGCCCCAGGGCCTGCCACGGAGGCCGTGCCCAAGGGGCCTACTCACGCAGCACCACCTGTATGCAAATGTGGCGGCGACCCAGGTGGGGCCTCTTGGGAGCCCGGCCAGGTGAGGGACACGCTGCTGAGGAGGGGCCCGGGTGTGGGGTGTGCCCGCGGGGCGGGCGGGGCTGGGCTGCAGTGGGGTCCTGAGCACCCCGGCCCCACCCCAGCGGAGCTGCGCTGCCTCCAGAGGACAGGTCACGGGGCAGGGCCCCTGCCCAGCCTGGACCCAGCCCCCCGCCTCCCTCCCTTGGGCCTGCCTGGTGCCCACCCCTAGAGCTCCCCCGTCCCTGGGCGGCCTGCAGGCATTGCCCACGGGCCCAGAGGGGCCTCTGGCAGGTATGGGTGGCGCCTGTGGCTCTCCGTGCGGTGGGGAGCAGGCCGAGGCTCCGACCTGGCAGGGTGGGGGGCGAGGGACAGAGCCCCTGGCCGTGGGTGCAGTCCAGGTCCCCCGCGGCTCTGCAGCCTGGCGGGCAGGTCAGCAGGCACTGCGCCGGGCCTAATGGAGCTGGCATCAATTTCCCGGCACTGGGGGCTGGGGGGGCTGTAACCGGAAACTCCCCTCCCGGCCGCTATATTTAGCACCGCAGAACACGGGCGGAAGCAACGCTCGCTCCTGAGCCAAGCCGGCTCTGTCCAAACTCTGGGCAGCCTGCACCCCAGCCTGGCCCTGCAGACCCCTGCCAGGTGGGGGGCCTCCACCCCATCTCTCAGGACCTGCCTGAGAGCCCCTCCTACTGGGGAGCTCGGGGACGGAGCCCCCAGGCCACGGGGCAGGTGGAGCTGGGAGACGGCCCCAGAGCGGGGATGGGGTCTTCCTGGAAGAGGCAGGGCAGCCTGGCCCAGCACGGGTGGAAGCCGGGGCCCCGGCCCCCCTCACACCCCCAGCCCTTTGGCGCGAGGGCTGCAGAAGTCCCTGTGGGGGGACCCCAGAGGGGGCGGACTTCCCCTCCCCCAGCAGCCTCCCAGGCCCAGCCCTTGCCTGAAGTGGCCGCCTCCCTGACCTGAACCTCTCGGGGTATTAAGTCTGGGCTGTGCTCTGGGGGAACAGTGAGTGGGAGGAGGCTTGTGCACCCTGCAGGGTGTCCCCGGAGCAGGGGAGCAAGAGGTCGCCCCCGACAGGCCTCCCGGGTCGGCTGGCCCCTGCCCCTGCCCTGACGCTCACCCAGCTGCCCGGGGCCCGGAGGACCCACGCCCTCCTCCCAAAAGGCCCGGAGGGAGGCCGATGGGGCGGGCCATCGTCTCCCTAGCTTCGCAGGGCAGGTGGGGGCTCTCTGCACCCCCAAGGCAGGGCTGGCCGGCAGGAAGGGCCCCGGGGAGGCTGCATCCTTTGCATCTTGAGGTGGAGTGAGCGTCCATCCCCGGTGCCGCCAGCCCAGACAGCTCTGAGCAGGGAAAGAGCCGCTACTGAACAGCGGCCTCTGGAAGTGGCACAGCGAGTCTCGGGCGCGCGTCCCTCCCACGGTGGCGGCCCTGCAGGAAGCTTCGGCGGTGGCTGAGGGAGGGGCACGCCGGGGGATTGTTCTCTGGATTCCGCCCCTCCCTTACCTAGGAATTCCCCTTGCCGGCTCCCTCCGGCCGGGCCTTGGCCTGGTCACCGGCCCCTCTCCGTGCGGCCCCGGGGCTCTGTGAACACGCGGGCCGTGGTGCAGCCCAACCTGGCACGTTCCTGTCTGACTTCCCCTTGGGCTCAGCGTGGAGGCCGTGGAGACGCCCTGCGTAGCTGGGCTCTCACCGCACCAGCGGCCTCACCTGACCCCTCGGCCCCTCTGCCTCTGCCACTGTGTCTCCCTCACCGGGCTCCCCTGGGGCCAGGCTCCCTCAGCCCAGGGCCTTTGCACGGACCGTTCCCAGTGTCTCCCCCCGAGGACCTGGCCTGCCTTCGGGTCTTAGCAGCCCCCCACGCCCTTTGCCCTGCCTGCCTCACCCTTACAGTTTGTCATTCTAGCTCTGTTCACCCCTGGACCCAGGGCTCCCCAAGGGTTTACCACTTGGCTGAATGGTGGGCAGAGGCCCCCCCCCCCCGGCCTTCCTTGGACAGGGGGACAGGGACATGGACTGGGCCCCTGGAGCCGTGTGTGTGTGTGTCGGGGGGTGCCTCCTCATGAGTCTTGGGGCCTGAAGTATGTGGGTGCCTGCGGCTGGGCCAGGGCAGAGGGAAGGAGGCACCCCCACAGTGGCTCTGGTGTAACAGGAGGGCTCCATGCAGCTTGCATGCCCTTATTTGGTGGGGGTCGCTGTGCGTGGTGGGCCTGGCTTGTGTCCTGCCCCCTCATCCCAGCAGACGAGGGGCTCAGGTAGGGAGTGGGGGTGCTGGCGGCATCGCTAGGCCCACCCTGTCAGGGGCTTCCAGCCGCTCCGCACGCCTGGATCCTGGAGGGGCCGGCTGCTTAGTGGCAGCGGCCCCTACACCCCGTGTGGGGGTGTCATTCCCAGGACAGGGCCCCCGGGGCAGCTGGCTGCACACCCAGGTGACAGAGAGGGGGGTGTTTGCACTCTGGAGCCCCTTCAGCCAGGCTTGCCGCCCCAGTGCCTGGCCGCCTGCAAAGCTGCTTCTCCCAGGAAGCAATCCGTGCCCCCCTCACCCAGCGCACCAGGCCGGGGCTGCTCCCAGCGCTCAGCACCCAGAGCCCTGCCCCCTGCCTGGGGCGCTCGGGGCGCTCACGACAGCCTTGCGGGCAGCCAGGGCAGAGAAGACAGCCGGGTTAGGTGGCGGCGAGGGCGCCGGACCCCTGCGGACCTGGGGGCCGCCGCCGCCCAGGCGCCCGCCCGCCGCAGAGGGGACCCTGCAGGCCGGAGGGGAGCTGTGCTCGCAGACAAGGAGCCCTGGGACTTGACCCTGGGTGGGGGGGCGGCGAGGTTACCCGGCAGAGGGCAGCACGCGATGCCGGAGGGCGGGCCGCGGGGACCTGGTGACCAGGACAGCGGGAGGAGCCTGTGCGCAGCTCTCACCTCGTCCTGAGCGCGCGCCACCGCCTTTATTCCCGGGCCGTGCCCGCTGCCCGCTGCCCGCCCGAGCCCCGTCTCCAGCGGCCCCGCGCGCCCCGCCACGCCGCGGGGCATCAGTCGCCGGGCCGAGCCGGGGCGCGGGGCGGGGGGGCGGGGGGGCGGGGGGGCAGGGGCGCGGGGCGCGGGGGAGCAGCGCCCCCTGCGGCCGCGCGGAGGGGCGCCCCACGGGGGATCCCAGGCCGCGCGCGCGGGGCCGGGTCGGGGCCGCCCGCGGCTGGCTTCTCCCCCGGGGCGGCGGCGCCCCGATGGGAGGGGAGCTCGGCGGTGCCCTCAGGGGCGCCCTATCCCCGGCTCCCGGCTCCCGGCTCCCGGCTCCCGGCTCCCGGCGGGGCCCGGCCGAGGGGCCCCCGCACGCCCGCGCCGGCGGAGGCGGAGGCGCGACGTTGGCGCCGCCCGGGGCCCCGCGAGGCGCGCGCCGAGTGCGGGCGCGGGCAGCAGCGCCCTCCGCCGCCTTTAAAGCCGAGCGCCCCCGGCCCGGCCCCACCCCGCGGCGCGGCCCCGCCCCCTCATGCATATGCAGGTGCGCGGGTGACGAATGGGCGAGCGAGCTGTCAGTCTCGTCCCGAACTTGTTGGCTGC